GCTTCAATAACCAGACACTAAACATTTACAGCCCGAAAGTGTGATACACCATCGAAACCACCCATATGGAAAAGAAATAGTAAAAACATATATGATTTACTCATGAAAGTGGCCACTTTCTCATTACTTTCATATATTTTTTTAGTAAGTATACAAAACATACAAGTTTCATTATATAATTTTTCAAGGGATCTTATATGTTTTTTCACTCTTGTATGCTTTTCATACAAGTTTCATACAAGACAGATAAAAACTTTATAAGATTTATATATATCTTTTCCATATGGGCAGCTCTAATTTCAGTATTATTTATTTTCTGTTACAGGATCTATTACATTGTTTAATGACTGGACAGAAATTTAAATTAGAACACTTTTAAAGCCTGTCCACAATAATGAAAATAATTTGTTGTTTTGCTGGTGGAGACTAAACTCCTGAGTGTAAAAGACTGCTTTTCCCCTAAACTTGCGTTTTATTACATTCCAATAAAGTAATGCATAATTCCTGAAACCAAAAAAAATCTAAAAAATTAAAATAAAGAATATAAACAGATTAGAGGCATAGACTGTATATAAAAGATGGCCATATCCACCTATACTACCAGCTGGTTAGTGAAGTAATTTCTGTGATTTCTTGAATATTTTGGCCATGACCATCTTTCTCGTTTGTGACACTGTATGGTAGTACTCACATTAAACATACCCTCCATTATCATCTATTTTAGATGGGATTCTAACCCTAGCCATAATTTACAACCTCAACATCATGTGGTGATTAATAAGACTTGAAACTAGTGGTTGAAACCATTAACACATCAGGACAGTGTTTACTGGTGCCCGATTTTTTCTTTCTTTCTTTTGTCTCGCCCAACTTAGCCATTAAGCTCAATCTACGTCCACACGCATAAGGGTATTTTATAAAATGGGGATTTTCTGCTTTCATTTTAAAAAATATCTTTGTCTAAATGAAAACACAAAACATCATGTTAACTTCCCAGAGCATGCTAAAGCAACAGGTGGTGATACATACCTAACAAGATAAAAAAAAAAAGTCAACACTGTTTTATGCAGTTAGGCCAAAATGTATATAAAACGCTATGACTACCAAAATAGCTGTGTACGTGTGAAGAGGGAATCAGTCCCAGAAGCTACTGCCATCTTTTCTATACAGTCTGTGATAAAATACAAACTTCACAAGCAGCATGTCAGTTGTTTTTGTTGTTGTTGTTTTTTTTAAGAAAGCACATTCATTATGATAACTTCCATTCATCCATCCATTGTCTTCCACTCATAAGTGTTGCAGTGGGCTGGACCCTATCCCAGGTACCACAGGGCGAGAGGCAGTGTACACCCTGGACAGGTGGCCAGGTAACTTTAAAAAAGGTAATGATTCCTCCTTCATACATTCATCCAACACTCTGCGCATGGATGAATGGATTTAAAACTCCCATTTCAGGGATTTTTTTTAGTTATATTATATTCTTATAAACTTTTAGGTGTAAGCTATGAGTTATGAATATCTCCAGTCCCCGAGCAACAAGACAGCATCCCAGCTTTACAAACCAGCTTGAGTTTCCCACTCTTTCTAAGTACAAAATAGGTAACCAATAATCCCGTCTCCTCTTTGCTTGCTTCTCCCTGTTTCAGTGTTAATTTAAGTATCATAGCATGCTGCTAATACATATGCTAAACATACAGCTGTGTTGACTCTGAAACAGACCCTAAGAAGCAGCTCCACACAGGGGTATACAGGTAAGGTGGAGAAGATCATCTGTATTTTGAGGTCAGACTTAATATATGGTACACTCTGGAGATGTGTGACGTGTGAGACTAGCATATGTCTTAAAGTAAAACAACTATATATCTGATTCAAAAGAGTTTGCATAATGATCTGAATTGCCTGGTAAAAATGCCCTCTATGTAACTATCTATCTATATAATTATCGAAGTGGTAATGTGGTTTTATACAGAGGCAATATGTCCTTCTTTTTTTACAGTTTTTTGCCTTTATTTGCTTAAAAAAAATTTTTTTTAAGTTAATGCAAGTTTAAGTTTACATATACAACAATGGATGACAAGCCATATATATATATATCTATGTTCTTAGGCATCATAAATGAATGATTTAATTGTATTCATCCCACTAGTGGAATAGGCAGAACCCAGACTGGACAAAGCTGTTTTTCTTTCTTTATAAACTTTCTTGTAGGCAGATATTTTTCACATTTGAAGAGCTTAAAGTAGTCAATGTTTGGCACATTTTGTGCAATATGTGTGTTAAGCAGGTTTCAAAACCATTGTCAATCAGTTGATGTAGTTTTCCAGTCCACTCACCCATTTATGGCCATATTCTTTATAAGGATAGGGCACAATATCTAGAACACTTGCTGCTAATTACCAGAGCATTGTTTAAACTTTGTGGCCTGTGCAGCTCCAGCGGCTCAGGGGATCAGCGTGGAGTGCTAACATATATATACCTTCCGTTCCTGTGATTTAAACTAACACTCCTGCCTCGCCGCTCAGCACAAAGGAGCCAGCAAACACATTGTGCAATTCCCAAGAAAGCCACCCACAGACATTTATACAGCAAGACTGGCGACCAGCAGCTCAACTGCGTTTCAGAACTCACTTGGAAGGCGGACAGTTTGTGCTGCTACGCCAAGGACAGGAAGTGCTTGCAGAGGGACAGGAAGTGCTCACCGCTGCAGTAGCCGAGGCTGGAACTGAGATAATGCCATTGTGTAAGCAAGCCAAGTGACCTCTCCCTGAGCGCAGAGTCCAGAGGCTGGCGTCGAGAGCCCTGGCCCCCACCCAGCCCCAGACTCCCCAGGCACGGGGTGGGGGACTTGGTGGAGGGACTGGGGGAGGAATGGAAGGAGGAGGGGGGTATGAGGCGTGTCACCTCCACATTCCCCCCCCACCATCCCAACACCGACAACACCACCTCCCCTCCTCTGGGTTGACTCTGAACCTCACCTTGTAGAGGAAATGTGGCTACGACTCCAGACTTTATGACTTCTCCCATCAAAAGCCAGGATTTTTCACTCCCACACAGAGAGAGAGGCCGTCAGGGCACACTCATACCCCACGCCCATATCAACACACGCATTCACAGAGACACACAGGCAACCACCACACACACACACACAGGGTCCCTCTTTCTCTTTTCTCTTAGGAACGGAGGGGGAAAACCCTATCAGGTCATCAGCGGTAAAATAGACGATGACAGTATTATAGTCCAGATCCTGTCCCATGCAGCTCCCAGCTGGACCTCCATCCAAAACACCCTCCTCCTAACCCCTAGAGGGTCACCCAGCATGCTCTGGAGTACTACTGGTGTCTGCTCGGGGCATGAAAAGGTTGCATAAGCATCTGTCATATTTCTGTCAGCCCCTTTTGACATGTCAGAGAGGCCGTAGACCACAACAAGATGGGAATGGTCCGAGAAAAGACGGAGCTGACAGTTTGGGGTCTGCTGGCTCTGATAAGAAATCCCGTGGCCTGGGGGTGATGTTTGGATTTCTGACCACAAACATGGGGCTTCATTCTCTGTGAGATAAACACACCGTGTCTGGATATTTCAGGTGCAACAGGTTGCTTTAACCTTTGCACCATTACCCAGGTCTGAGTCGGTTGCACCAAAAAACAACAAAAAAACATTCTTGCACAATTCAATAGCATTTGTCTGCGTGTGTGTGTGTGTGTGTGTGTGTGTGTGTGTGTGTGTGTGTGTGTGTGTGT